AAAGGCAACAAAAGCCTTTGTTTAAAACAAGTGGTTCACTTATCTTTTGGTCGTCGATTTTGTCAAACTGCCTGATGAACGGTACACTCTACAAGGAAAGGCAACAAAAGCCTTTGTTTAAAACTAGGTGGTTCACTTACCTTTTGGTTAATCCTGTCCAGTTGTCTGTTTTGAGATTCAATTTCACTTCCCATGTCGATGGCCATGTTACGCAAATTTCCAACCATTGTATTCACCTGCTGCATGTTATCTTCCATTTCTTCTTCACGAGCATCGTTGGTAATCCTAAAAAAAGCAGGCAAGTGTGATGTCAGTTTTTAATATTTCCCAGAAATCTCATCTTTAATATTGTGTGCTCTTCCTTGCTTATCACCAGGTCACCTTTTCATAACATTGGTAATATAACGTATTACTTTTAGTTATGTTTAACCTGATAACTTGGTAACTGACATTATACTTTTAGTAAACTCTATTTAACCTACCAACGTGGTTAGTGACACTGACGTTTCTGCAAAGTTTGATTATCCCAACATATTGGTTATTGATACAAATATTTCTATAAACTCTATTCAACCTAACAGCTTGGTCAGTGACTATACATTTATGTTAGTTTTAAGAATACTTTGTCTTAAAGCTTGGTAATTAATACTAAGGTTTTTGTAATGTATATATATATATACATAAACAGTTTGTCTTTATTGGCATTGGGAATTCAAAGAATACAGAGTTTTATAAATTATTCATTGTGTTCAAAAACCTTCTATGCTTATACGTGGTCCGAAAGCTTTGTGTCAGTTATAATATTAATACAGCCAGCTTATATGTATATGTATATTTATAAAGAATATTTATGATTATCAATGTCTAAGTAATCTTCTCTGTTGAAAAAGGACCGGCCACAGTCTAGTGGTGAGCGTGCTTAGATTATGTATCCGAGGGTTCATGGCTCGTAGATTACTGCCGCCAAAAGGCACTGCGTAGTTTGGGGCCGTGAATGTGTTATAAGACTGAAGGTGAAATCCCACTATTCGTTAAGGGTATCCCAAGAGTTGGCGGTCGGTGCTGTTGACTAGCTGCCTTGTATAGTATATAGTATATAGTCTAGTATATCAGTTCAAAATTAGTGACGGCTATGCGCAGACAGCTCGTTGTTTGGCTTTGCGCGAAAATTCTGAGACAGAACAATTATTTGAAAAAAAAAAACATTTAGAACTTCAACTAGTGATATTTGTTGCTATGCTTATTTCAAAATATGTTTTAGATATTTCACTTTGTTGTTTAGCTAAGAATATCTATCTCTAGATGCGTTTTTAATTCAGTGAAAAATGTGTTTCAATGCTCATATATATATATCAAAGTTATATATATATATATAAAAACCAAAAACAGAACAACTGAAATTTAAAAACACGCCTCCGTGTTTTTGAATTTTAATTATGTTGTGCTGTTTTGGTTTATATTAAATTCATTATTGTTTTATAGTGCTGAGTTTAATCGCCTATGAACAATCAATGTACTACATAGTATTGCATTTATTGATTTACATATATATATATATATATGAAAAGACAATGCTAAAACATTAGTCTGAAAAAGTCAAATGCAACGTTAGAAATGAGCCATTGAAGTGAACATTTGGAATTAAAAGAAATACGCATAGTGGAAACCTGTTCTACTAATCTTAGGTTAATTTCAAGCTTTTACGTACACCATATTTATCACTCTGCTTTATTTTTTCTCTAAAAGGCAAGATTACTACGTGTTATTTTTCAGCTTAAAGACAAATGAATTCGCTTTACGTTTTGTGCTCGATACTAACAGTTGAAGAATTTAGCGTCGACGTGGCTTCCTAACCGTTCTACCCGTGAATGATTTTGGGTCTAATATTTTTCACCTTTTCCTTATTGTGGTGCCTTGAGAAAGACACGCCTTTCCTATTTTGCACAAACTCTTCTGATTGATCAGTCTGTCGTACGTAACTCGTCCCTTGTTATCAGTCTTAGATGTCACGTGGTTATAAAAAAACGCCTCCGATCTTATTCGTTCTGCTTCATTTGTGTGGAATGATATATTTTTAATTTTTTTTTATCATATCTTGAAATACGTAATTAACGTAGACCGTTTTTCCAATATTAGTAATGGAATTAAAAATATCTCTCTAGATAATATTAGCTCTGATGAAGCTTCCGGGATTATTAGGTAAATGGAAATGTTTTTTGTTTTTTTACTTTATTAAATCATATTCGTCATTTTCTATCACTCTTCTAGCTAAAACTTTAATACATGTTGTTATTGGTATTAACTTAACATGAAACGCTTAGAATATGTAAGTTACTTATACGTTATTTTTAAAACGTATGCTGAAATGATAAAATCCAGTTATAACAAATGAACACGGTTCTCCCTTCTTCTGTTCAGTTAAAACAGTCTAGGCTGGTGAGAGATAACCACTGCTTTTATTGTAATAGTATTGTAGGTTCGCTGCACCTTTATTTTCAATGTTTAGTTAATATGCTTCTATAAACTACTATGAGTAAAGATGAACAAGGTTCTCCCTTCTTCTGTTCAGTTAAAACAGTCTAGGCTGGTGAGAGATAACCTACTATTACAATAAAAGCAGTGGTGTAGGTTCGCTGCACCTTTATTTTCAATATTTAGTTAATATGCTTCTATAAACTACCATGAGTGAAGATTATTTTAATGAATGCTTATGAAGACCATAGTAAATGGGTATCTATGTTATAATCCTGGTCTTTAAGCAGTTTACATAGTAGTAGAAATGCTTGTCTTGTACCAAACGTTAGCACCTTTATTTTCAATATTTAGTTAATATGCTTCTATAAACTACCATGAGTAAAGATGAACAAGGTTCTCCCTTCTTCTGTTCAGTTAAAACAGTCTAGGCTGGTGAGAGATAACCAGTGCTTTTATTGTAATAATAGTGTAGGTTCGCTGCACCTTTATTTTCAATGTTTAGTTAATATGCTTCTATAAACTACCATGAGTGAAGATTATTTTAATGAATGCTTACGAAGACCATAGTAAATGGGTATCTATGTTATAATCCTGGTCTTTAAGCAGTTTACATAGTAGTAGAAATGCTTGTCTTGTACCAAACGTTAGATTTTTCGTCATTGGTTGTTTAACGATGTCACGACTGATGATTTGTGTTAAGTTTTTCTGTAACAGACTTTGAACATATAATCTATGTATATATATATATATATATCAGTCTGTCTGTTTGATTTTTTTCTGTCATTGTATCTATTCACGCAAATGCAATGACAGATTAAATGGTTATATCGAGTATAGTGTATCAATGCCTTTTTTTCAAGACAGTTAACTTTCACACACATATCAATAAAAACGTTTAAGCATGTCCATTGAAGCTCGAGTCCATAAATTCGATAAATGGTTACCGTAGCATGGGATTCATTGAAGTACGTGATGTTTACAGTAAATTTTATTGCATGGGACAGTAAGCAATTGTAGCAAAGTGCAGAAAGACATTTGCTGTATGAGCAAATAGTCAACTACAAAAAAGGCATTCACAGCTAGGAACAAAAGTAATTCAGATGTTCACATGCACGTCAGTCCGAGAAATACAACAAATAAATGAAAACCTAATAATTGGTATGATTCAAAAGAAAGATAATTGTTCGAATACAGGAATTGTTTTCAATCTAATAGAGAAGGGTGACTGTTGTTCCCTTGAGTATTCGCAGTTATTTTGTTAATTTTTTTATGCCATAAATGGCGAATTTGGAAAATAAAATGTTATATCTGAGCGCAGTTAGGGTCGAAATTAACGTAAAACAAATAGTAGCCTTTATACGTATACTAGAGAGATAGAGGTAAACAACAAGTATAGCCACTAGTAGATTACACACGAAAGTTTTGGTTACGTGACTAAAAGTAGCTCTTCCAGAGTAGGGCCCATATCGATCCCACTCTCTCTATGAAAACCAAGTGTTCTTAAGACGTTGCACACAGTTTCCATCCTCACAAAGAATCGATACTACATCAGCTACAGTGGATGCTTTAGTTTTTCATAAGTTGACAACTCAAAGGTAACTTTTTTTTTACTTTAGTGTAACCAGCCTATTTTCTGCATCTGAACTAACGAAACAGGTATGTAACCTGATGCTGACTATGAACTTCCTTTTTTTTTCTCTTGCTTTTATGTCACTTTCATGCGCTGGAGTTTAAGAGGTATGTTTTAAGAACAGATGTTTGTTTACCCTATCAACACAAGTAATGTTTCCAGAAAGACAGCGTGCTGAAATGCAGAGTTGATCACTTAGTGAGAGGCCTCCCCCCCCCTGTGGCACAGCGGTATGTCTGCTAATTTACAACGCTAGAAACCGGGTTTCGATACCCGTGGTGGGCAGAGCACAGGTTAGCCTATCGTGCTTAATTCCATAAAAAACTTACTGAAAGCAGTCGAAAGATGAATATATCGAGACATTTTGTACATCATGTAGGTACTATAACAATGAATTATTTCTTTAATCGATTAATTCAGGATTGTTGTCTTCAACTACTTGATTACTACTCCTTTGTATTCATTCATAAAAGAGTTTTAAATAAATCCTCAAATTGTGAATAAACGATATAAAATTATCTAATTCATTGTTTGCTGGTTTCTGAGTAAAGCTATATTAGTCTCCACCGCGGGGAATCGAACCCCGGATTTTAGCGTTGTAAGTCTGTAGACTTACCGATGTCCCATCGGGGTACTATTGGTAGGTAATGATAATTATGATATTCATATTTGGATGAACCACTGATATCTTATAACTAAGAAATCTTTAGAAAAACGTATCATAAGATAGGCAATATCTTACCCACAAAAGTAGTATTCCTGAATAACAACTATTTAAACTTTTTAAAGTTAAATAAACAGAAAACAAAAATAGCCAACTAAGAGTTGAGTTTTCCAAAAGTATAAATTTTATCTTGAGTTTTAAAACCTTGTTTCGATTGGTTTTAAAATAAATAATTAAAATAAATATTCGTATATGTGTTACTTGTTATGATTACTGAAAACTATATAATTTGACATTAAAAAGCTATTTATATAGTGCCATAAAATGAAGAACTAAATGAATAAATTTTGTGGAGTTCGTTACATTTTGTTTGTTAGAAGAAGTTGTTTTACGGTCAAATGTCAAATCAGTTTTCATTAATTTATCATCGCAGCTTTCATTCTATCAAGTTTACCGAATATCTGAATAAACTTGATGAAGACTAAGGACTCTTGGTAAGTAAATTCCACTGTTCATCACTGTGCTTTTTATGTAAATGTAACATTCTATCAAATGTGTGTACACACGAAAAATAATAACTTTTGAATTGAATTGTACTTGAACATATCACAGTAAACACAAAAAAGGTACAAGACAGAGGCTTGCCATAATTTGCAAATATACCTTGTAAATATATGTAAGTTGAATTAAAGATAAACCCCAGCGTAAGATTACTCCTCGCCTTTTTCCCATCTTCGAACCTGTGCGTGCTGAGAGTACTTTATAACGTTATAATAAAAATAAAGGAATTTGTAAATAAACAATTCAGATATTATACACAAATTCAGTACTTTATGTGACAGCTTCAGCCCATAACACATAAAACCGTTTTCCGAAGAGGTTCTTTGGCTATAAAATAATCCTCATGGAATATTAGTTCTTTTCTATCTTATCAGGAATTCGAGCAACAAAGAAGGTAGTTATTTCCTAAGAAAAGGAACTCAAGATAATAAATGACAACTAGTTAAAAAAAACTCTCTTTCCACCAGGTATCATTTCCCAAACTTACTTCGCAATGTAGCCTCCCATTGGCCCAGCTCCATTCCTGTCGTCCATAACTCTTGCTGGCTGGTTTCCCACTATTTTCCCATCTTCATTGCCTTTCCACGTGCTCGGGTCTTCCTTGAATTCCTTGGATCTGTAGAACACAACATCCGATTATCTTATCAAGAAAACACAAGAACATTTCCGAGTGCTCACGCGAAATAAACAAACAAAAACAAATGTAATAACATAAAAGTAACAAATGAGCTTGTGTTTGTAAACCCTTTGTATAGAAAGAAATCAGCTAAGTACATTAGAAGTAAAACTTGTTTTCCCCTCATTCCGTGTTAAGAGAGAGACACACACACAACAGTTTGTTATATACAAAACTAAGAAGTGAATTCATTAGATCTAAATTTTAAAAGTCCTCCTCCACTGTGGCTCAATGGCTTAGCGGTAAGCTTTGAGGGCTTATAACGATAAAATTTGGGGTAAGATCCATGCAGGGGGAAAGAGCATTTAGTTGGGTTAAAGGTCTCCAAAAAACGCTAGAATTTCTTGTATCATGTTCATTTGAAATAGAATGAGAAATTTTAATTTATGTTTTTCAATGCTCAGTAAACAAGAAACATTAATCTATGCTTAATTTTATCAGGAAACAGTCGTTACCACACAAAAATATATCGATTTTCTTCAATATAGCCGACCATCTCTAAAACGATATCACAAAAAAAGAGAGTGAAAATCTTTTTATTGGTGGGCGCCGAAGCTGAGAATTTTTCATTTATTTGGATATTATAATAGATATTATTATACATTTCACGTTTTGGCTCCGATATAATAACATCGTAACGTTTTCTTCATATGAGTTTAATTATCCATTTTTAAACATACATTAATGTAAGATACTATATATAACTGTAGATCTAACAATCAAAATAAAAGTTGAGACAAAATGTTAAGTTCATAGTGATATTAAAGATTGTACATCAATTCAAAGTTTAAAATAACGATAGAACAGTTAGTCACTTCTGTGATATTAATATCCATATCAATTATCCAAACTTTAAGAAAAAATGGGGCGAACAATTTTAAAGGTTTAGCAACACTTTTGTGATATTAATATCTGTATCAATTATCCAAACCTTAAGAAAAATGGGGCGAACAATTTTAAAGACACAGCAACACTTTAGTGGGGCCACTTCCAGCTTTTGAGGCCCCTAGCCATAATAAAAAAACGACATATGAAAACAAAATAAGGTCATCATTAGCTCGAAAAATAGTGATATATAATTTGAAGGGAGTCCCATAAAAACAACAAGTATCTAAATTTGAAGCCCAGGCCAAATGGCCTCCACTCTGATTAACCCTGTATGTATACACATATACTTGGACTTCAGAAAAAATCGAACAGTTTCTTTAAGGGTTTGGTTTCAGCACTTTATACGATAGCAACATTAGCATAAATCTTTATACCTTAAGAACAGAATCGAGAAATGTTTTTAAGGTTTCAGTTTGTTTTGAATTTCGCGCAAAGCTACACGAAGGCTATCTGCGCTAGCCATCCCTAATTTAGCAGTTGGTAACTCTTTTACAGTGGAATTGGCCGTCACATTATAACGCCTCCACGTCTGAAAGGGCGAACATGTTTGGTGGGATGGGGATTCGAACCCGCGACCCTCAAATTACGAGTCAAGCGCCCTAACCACCTGGCAATGCCGGGCCCCAAGGTTTCAGACTCAATATTTTCGGTTATCGTATCTTATGTATTAATTCGATATTAAAAAGTGTACGCATTTTTTTTTCTGGAATTAATACCAATAGGTTATTTGGCGATGGACTTCACACTGCCCTGAAAACGTGGATTTGTTCGAAGCAAGTAAATCGAATCCACAACAGTAAGTGAAAACATATCAGAAGCTGGTTAAAACAAACAAATCAGACATCTCAAGAGAATTAACTCACCAACAAGAGCACTAAAGAAATCTAAGAAAACATAGGATTGGTAACAAATTGGAAACGTTTCTCAGTTGACCCACGAGAAACTCCCAATGGGTGAACTAGTAAATCTGACACAACATGGAATCTAAAAGAACCTACTGCGTCTATGTAGTCTACTTAGCCATTAAACCAAGATATGTCGCTTTTTCGTTGTTCCAAATAACTTTTTGTTTGTTTGTTATTAAACACAAAGCTACACGAAAGGCTATCTGTTCTACCCTCAACAAGGGTATCGAAACCCAGTTCTTAGCGTTATAAGCCTCCAAACTTACCGATGTGCCACTAAGGGGGTTCTTCATTTCTTGTGATACTCCTTTTAAGACAATACTCTGTGGCAGATATTTTTTACATGAAAAGCTCCACTTATTTATCAAGCTACAAGATTCGAACAACTTATGTATCAGACACAGAGGTATTAACCCTGAAACTTTTCTAGACAGATTTTTAGTTAAGCATTCTGTAATAGATGATGTAAATAATCTGGTGACGACAAGCGATGACAATATTACTAAACACTGTAGAATAAAGATATTTATGTAAACACAGCTTGGCTATTTGATAAAATATTAAAATTTTGACGCCAATAAGATAAGTTAACCTGTCCTTTATTGTACAAGACTATCTTTAACGGATTTTACGTACTTGAGGTTATTGAACAAGGTGTTTCTGTTGATGGTGCGAAATAAAAAGCGTTCAAGAATGTAAAGAACCGAGATATAAGCCTGGAATGCACACATAACATCTGTGTTAATGAATAAACTGCAATCTAATCTCGTACAAATTTAAACATTCACGTGTGGTGTTTAGTTTGGTTATTTATGTGTTGACAAATGACATAAGTCGTCTTAGAAAATTGTATATTTAATAATTTACACTGCGTAATAAAAATAAGGAAAATAAATAAAGAATAATACTTATTCTGAAAATACAATTGTATCGAGTATATTTAATACTTGAATGTATGCATAAGTACTATTTATATTTAATGCTTGAATAAATATCATATTATCTAATGCTTGAACACAAGCTAGTTATACCTAATCCTTGATGACGCATAAGTACTATTTGAAGATTTAATTGTAGGGACAAAGTAAACATATATTTTGTAAGTATACTACATAATTATTTACTTGCTTACCATATGAAAAGCTTAGACTTACTTAATAGTAATTGTAGGGACAATACTTACAAATTTGTAGTATAGGGGCATTATACATTTTTATTTACTCACTTGTTGCAGGGACAGACACAGATACCATAACATTTTTATATGCTTACTTGTTGCAGGGACAGATGCAGGTACCACAATATTTTTGTATACTCATTTGTTGCAGGGACAAACACAGATGCCACAACATTTTTGTATACTCACTTGTTGCAGGGACAAACACAGATGCCACAACATTTTTGTATACTCACTTGTTGCAGGGACAAACACAGATGCCACAACATTTTTGTATACTCACTTGTTGCAGGGACAGACATAGATACCACAACGTTTTTGTATACTCACTTGTTGCAGGGACAAACACAGATGCCACAACATTTTTCCATTCCAGTCAAGTTTTTCTCTGCTTCCTTCATATCGGCGTTAATCTTATCCATGTCTTCTTCGATCCTATCGAGTTGTTCTAGACAGAAATTTACACAAAGTTTCAAATTTTAACAAATTAATCACACTAAAAAAGATAGATCTTGTTTTGATTAAATAAAGGACCAAAAATGTGTAAATAATTTGAATTTTCTCAGAGTAGATTAAATAACAGTCTAAAAACACGATATTATTTTATTTTTAAAATTTCTAGAACAGTATAGCTTCAGCGTCACAGTTTTTAAATTTTATTATCGTCTACAATTATAAGTAACTTATGTTTGTAGAAGTAACAGAATGTTCGTTACATATTAAAATTATAGCACATTCAGGATTGCAGATATGATGTGGACTGTAATAATATTCAACATGGCCACTTTGCTATCGCAGCTTCTAATTAAATAAATTAATGCTTACCACATATATACATGTATATCGTTAATGATAATAATAAACAGAATATTTAGCGAAGTGAATATTTAAATCATCTCTTCAACTCTCTCGTTATAGATATACAGACAGACAGACACACACACATATATATATATATATGTAAATATTACATTAATTCTTTATGTTACATCAGTAGCGAACACCATTAAGTACAAATGTAAACCATAAAAACTATAACACTTTTTTAACAGTTGAAAGATTTCCTCAGCTCAACATCTTGATGTTTACTATAACGAAACCAAGGAGTTTTTGGTAGTAGGCAGTGAAAAAACTGAACCATCTCTTATGATTTAAAGAATAAAATTGTAGTACAAGAAAAATAAGTTGTGACAAAGATACTCTAATAACTAAAGTTAGATCACACTCTGTGACTTCGATCATATTGTAAATATCTAAGACTAGATCTGTCTAGTCTAAACGTTTTGTTCTCGTCACTGATGACACAAGCTTGGAAATTCATTATGTTTTCAATATGTTAGTCTGCTGAAGATAACTTCTGATAAGAGGACATTGACCTGTTGAATTTTAGATCTTTGTCTGTCATCTAATATGAAATGTTTATTAGAAATATTTAATAATATGCATAAAAGGAATATCCTCCTTCTACACAGTTGATTGGCACTTCAATAACCAACATTTACTTTACATCTCACAAAATAAATCATATTTTACTTTATACAATAATAATATCGTCATAATATATCAGACACGTGACCTTCTCAACAATGAACACGATAAACAAACTGTACAAATGAATGTGAGAGCATTTAGGAATCGGAATTAATGATCTATATCTTACAGAAACAAAAACAATTAACAGTACATGTTCTAATGTACTTCATCTTCATTATTCTTAGCTTGAACAGCTAATATCATGTGATATTGCTATGAACTTCAGGACGACAAGTTGAGTGATTAAAAGCAAACAAGTGGTAAGAAGCATACTTTATGAGTGTGAATTAGGTTGTGGAAGGTCTACATTAATATGGAAGTAGAACTCATAGCATCTAACAGTTCGTTGAGACTTTTATCGGGTACCAGAATTGGTAGCAACGTAGCTTGTCTTTTACATTCTTTTCGGGTGAGTCATTGTTTTAATATCTCTTCCAATGATCGACGTGTTCGTGTCTGGAGAACCTCAGGTGAACGATATCTTCAATGCAACATCGTTGAACATGACCATGGGGGAGACATTAGTTCTATATGTTAGTGCGCTTCCATGGAGCTGATTTAATGCTTTAACGATATAGTAACGTAGTATTAGACCCAGTTGTACTGTTTGTTGGAGGGTGATGCCCACTTTTATACCACCAAGATCGTGATGAACTACTCTGAACTACAAACCATAGAGATCACGAACTGGACATAAAAAGACTTGAACTAAATTCTATGAAGTGCTTGTGGAACCTCCATAGACATCGTGAAACAATTCATTTACCGAAATACAAAAGCTTGGTGTTGTTCAAACTGAGGAATAGAACAGAGTATTCGATAACGTTATCCACGGACTGATCAGATCCAGAGAATATGTCAATGCTAGGGGATTAAATTCGTTACTGGGTATATCTTTTTATCAATTATTACTCTTTAAACGGCTCGGCATAGCCAGGTGGTTAGGGTCGCGGGTTCGAATCCCCGTCACGCCAAACATGCGTGCCTTTTCGGCCGTGGGGGCGTTATAAAATTACGGTCAATCCCACTATTCGTTGGTAAAAGAGTAGCCCAAGAGTTGGCGGTGGGTGGTGATGACTAGCTACCTTCTCTCTAGCCTCCCGAATTAGGGGCGGCTAGCGCAGATAGCCCTCGTGTAGCTTTGCGCGAAATTCAAAACAAACAAACAAACAAGTTGGTTTAGTGGATTCTAAACTCTGACCACTCATTTTTAACTAGCGATATTGAAATTGGATGGTGGGGTGGTGAAGTGAAAGCACAATGTTTAGAAGCTTTTCGCTAGCTAGAATTCTATAATGATAAATGTGCACTATTTGAAGAATTGTTAAACGAGAGTAAATTTGTTGTATGGTGTGAAAATTATGGAGCATGAATTCACTACATGTTCAACAAATCATCACAAGCATCATATAGGAATATGTCAAATAAAAGGAAAAAAAAAAGCTAAAGATGTAATAAACATATAAAAAAAAGGAACTGTGCTAATGAGGCAAGCCGTTCATTCCAGAAAAAGTAGCTCAATCCCAGCGGAAAATTGATATCTGGAAAGTGAAATGTTGAAAAGGGCAGAAGGAAGCAGCCAGGAGCACCAATAACAGCAAAATAAAAAGTGAATATGCAAAAAAATAGGGGTCATTTGATATGAAACTGACGGCATTTAGAAAGATTAAAAGTAATTTACTGCAAGGGAATAATGCTATGCATTTCCTCTCAAAAAATAATAATGGTGATATGGTTCATAAACTCGTCAACTCAGGAAAAAAGTACAATAAACTAGAAACTCTAACCTTAAAAATAAATAGCGAAACAAGCCCATAGCTAATCTACACATGAGAATGAAAGAAATAGAGTAATATAAGATAAATAACAAAAATAGCAACAGAGAAGATTCCAGCAATGTACGCCTGAAAACTAGAATATTCTGATAAAAACTCTAGTAAAACTAGCACATAATTTGAATATTAAAAACCTTAATCGATATCAAATAATGAATGTGCATATGTTACTTCTTATTACTTAATTACTCGTTATAAGAAGGAATACACATTCTATGATAATAAGATTTTTGTCAAAAAAGAAAAAAGAGGAGAGAGAGATAAGTGGATAGGAAAAAGGAAAAATATAAATGTTTCATTTGATTTGTTCAGTGACAAGAAGATTGAGAAAATATATGTAACTTAAACTTTGACGGCAATAAATAACTGTTTTGGGAGTCAAGAGTTTTGGTAAATGAAGGGAAAATAAAATATTTGTAAAGATTACGAAGAAAAGTAAAGTAATTAGATGGAAGAATATGTTGGATAATAAACCCAAGTGATACTGGGTGTTAGAGTGAAATAATAGACGTGGGTTTAAAGGAAATATACTAGAACTTAACTCTTGGATTCTTCTGAAGTGATTGGCATTTATAAATGGGTTACAAATAAGAGAAGTGAACTTAACTCTTGGATTCTTCTGAAGTGATTGACATTTATAAATGGGTTACAAATAAGAGAAGTGAACTTAACTCTTGGATTCTTCTGAAGTGATTGACATTTATAAATGGGTTACAAATAAGAGATGTGAACTTAACTCTTGGATTCTTCTGAAGTGATTGACATTTATAAATGGGTTACAAATAAGAGATGTAAACTTAACTCTTGGATTCTTCTGAAGTGACTGACATTTATAAATGGGTTACAAATAAGAGATGTGAAGAGACATATAAAAATAAGAGTTTTAGTATTATAACTGTTAACATTAAAAATTTAAGAAAGCAGTGGAGGGAGTTATTGGTGATATGAAATGATGCTTTCAGAAAAATACACGTTAGTAACAGCAGAGTTAAACACCAAAGAGGAATAAACCGAAAATTAGAATAAGTAAGGTTTTGTAAGTTATAAGCGTTAGTAAGCTCACCACTATCTTGTACGTAAGAAATAAATTGTGGCATTATCGCTGATAAAATACAATGTATTAATAACACAGACCTGCGAATTTAAACTTCATAAACGTTGTTTTAGTTTTAATAACGGATTTTTCCATAATTCAGCTGCATTTCAGTTTCGAAAATAATATTCATCGGATAGAAATGTATTGGAGATTACTAACAATTTGAAAGTATAACTGAAACAGCATGAACACAATAAAAATGTATTTTAAATGTGTAGTTATAGTTCCTGTAAAGGAGTTATATACATTTATAATTTTTTTTAATGTAGGATAAGAGTATACGTTTTCTATTAAAAGTAAAAACAGCGAAAATTAACCACAGTTTACATCAATAACCACGACAAAATATTGAGAAAATATAATATCCGCATCACCCTTTACAAAATACAAGAAGGAATAGGAATCATAACCGCCATGAGAGAGGTTACAGTAGAAGTTATATCACGGTTATTAAGTGATCCGGATATGTAAATGATAGAAGGTTAAGTATTACAACAATTTGAAAACAGTTAATTAACCCCATAGGAACATAAGACTATTATATGTAAATGATAGAACTTTAAGTATTACAACAATATGAAAACAGTTAATTAACCCCATAGGAACATAAAACTATTATCTCCAGTCAAGACGAACTCTTTGCGATATCTTCGCAAGAGTATTTCAGAAATTGTTGTTTGTTTGTTGTTAAGCACAAAGCTACACAATGGGTATCGAAACCTGGTTTTAAGCGTTATAAGCTTTCAGAATTACCATTGAGCCACTGGGGGCATTTCAGAAATTAAAAAAAAAGATTAATATAAAAGAAAAACATTTATTATGCTGGTTATTATGGTGTTGTTATTGTAATTGTTTTGATTTTGTTAATGAATAAATGAGGTTTTATAAAACAATATATTTTCAACTTTGTTTAATTGATTGAAGAGTAACTTAACTATAAGAATTTGCGCTTTTAATTTCTCTAGTAATTAAAACCGTTCAATT